TTTTGTAAGACACATTCCAAGAAATAGACGTGACAAATAATTTATTATGTCAAAAGTGGGCTACCTCATTCACTTCCGTGTTCGGCTAAACAATTTTTCACCATTTTTCCTTTTAAAAGTCCTATCTTTTTTCTGATATTTCCTTGATCCTCGCCCTCTGTTCGTTTGTATGTTGTCAAACATAATAGACTATAAAAAGGATAGTATAGAAAAACTGGAAAACTAGAGAAAATTACGTTCAAGACGAAACTAGTCAGGAAAATCTGTTAGCACYGAAAATACAGTCCGACTGGACTGGAGTTCAAGTAACTGATAGAATTCAAATATCAATGCAATGAAGTGYGTTCATATTTCTTATATTTTTTTTTCTCAAGAAACATGACATTTTTATGTCAACTGCATGATATGTCAGAAACTATATATACTTTAATGAGATCTTTTGTAGTGTTCCGTCTATTAGCTCTGTTTTTCAAAATACCTAGTCAACATCTAGTATCACAAAGGTTCGATTTGACCTTTTTTATAATGTGTTTTCTTGGTGTATTTATAGTTCTTCCATGAACCACATCCAACCTCGGTCCGCGGCCCAGATCTGCACAGAATCGAGGCTGACACTCATCTTGTGTATTATAGTGCTGATAGTTAATCAATCCAACCGTACGAAATCGATATCTCACTCGAGAAGATGCTGCACACTGATACGAGATCTAAATACATAAACACACTTTTGTTCTTTAATTGCCTTGAGCAATGGACTTTGATTATCAATTGCCTGGCATCAAATGTCCGGCATTCCCACTGTTCTGTATTGATWTAAACCATGGTTTATAGTCTACGCTAGATAATTACATATCAAGTATGTTTTGAAACTTAACCATGTGTACTTTCCTTATCTASCGTTTGTTTTATTATTCTTTGATTGCCGCGGCTGCAAAGGGCGCCATCTTAGGCCCCATGGCGCGTTTTAGCCAAAKATTATCTTGTCGAAATGGTTAAACAACCTTGATACTTAAGAAGATTAGTTTAAAAAAGAGATGACTTCCGCATGTTATTAATCTTTATTTCCCGTTCTATTGTGGAGCAATTGGTRGTCATTTTATGATTAGATTATCTTTATTAGAAGTTTTCAGAAAATGTGAATTCTCGAAGTTTCTCTAAATATCAGCTGACAGTGCGTTCGTCCGAGCAAACAGCTGTTTTCGTAAATTAACGAGAAGTGCAACCAAAAGTGGTGAATAATTTACAAAGAATCTTTTCTATGAAGGAATTCAAATTGCGTAAAATGCATGTCATAGAGTGGAGTCTCTTGCTTTATTGTGCATTACTCATCTTGATGGTGATGCAATGCCGTGTCATTTACTCCAACCATCATCGTTAAGCTGAGGAAATTTGCAATCACCGCAATGAGGTAAAGCTTATTAAAGGCCCACGTGAATTTATTAGATCATTGCTAAGCTAGCTATATTTCTAGATTCAAAAACATACCTCAGACAACGATTTTATTAAAGTAGCAAAAATAGCGGTGAAGTTGACAAATCCTATAATGTCATCAATTGATTTAAAATTGTCGCCGAATCTGCGGAGTCAAAAAATGCTTTTATAATTCAACCGCAACCCAACCAGGAGTAGCTAAACGAATACCAAAGAGTATCTAGTATTTAATTGGAATTTTTGCGTTTCGATGCCCTATGTATCGCAATTTCTATAGGCTTTGCATTTTTTTTTCTTTCATGACATGGTATAAGGTAATTGTTTAACAAGGCACTCGAGACACTAAGCACATAGTGACAAGGTGAAAAGTGTCTCATTTACAGTTCGTCGAGAAAAAGCGACACTCCATTCATAACACAACAGAATAATTGACATCACAATATAATAATCTTTGATTTATGTTCATTCATAATAGAAAAAAGAACCTATTCAAATTCTAAAGACCATAATYTGATGGCATAAAGTACAAACAAAGAACTCCTTTCACTGCCTTCTCGTGATCATTGCTTTATCCAAAAGCATTCCACTTGTTCTTTGCCTCAAATTCCAAGGTTTTTAATGACCTCCACTGAGTTATTCCTCAGCGGGAAACGTTATTTGTTGTCTTTAGCTTTGATAAGATTTGAGGTTTAATTGCATTTTCGGAGGTATTTATGGATTTATCTCTAATCTTGTTCGTTATGTTTGAATGTGCGCAACAGTGASGAATAGCGAAATGACACACGATGGAAAACTAGACATCTGGTTGTAAATTCTGATAGTGATATCCAATAACACGACTCAGATGTACCCACTCCGCCTGGATGTGTTAAAAATGTTTAATTAAACATTACGAACAAAAGAATAAAAATGCATTTAAGTGAATCCAAAAATTATCATGGACTACATATTTTTGTTACGCATTGTTAGCCCAGTATGTGATGACAAACAGAATCATTCGACCATCAAAAGATAATAAAAAAAAATGAGCTCACAGAAACTTTCAAAACTGATCTTCACTTTCCCGTACATACCTCTGTGTTTTTACACTTGTTAATTAAACGATCATAGAAAAAAAACAGCAGTTGATAGCCTAACGTAGACCAAGGTCGTGGGAAACGTTACAAATCTTATCGATGGCAAATATATGACTTCGCTCAAAACCACGAGGACATCACGATGAAGCATATTTGAGAAGCAAAACTTCATAACAGAACACAGTTATTGACCTAGAGTAGGTACCATTTTGTAAATAATTTACAGGTGAGTTTTTCCAGTTCGAGCAACGAATCTGAGTCCATGTTCTCCTACGTTTCAGCTACAAAAATCGCGACTCATAATCCGTACGTCACCCAACCTTTTCCTGTTAGTTTAACAACTTACTGGATGCATTTCCCTTAACATTTCCTTACAAGCTTTAACAGTCTTACCAGAACTGCATAATGGATTCTCGTATTAAAAGTCAGTTCTCGATTTTGAAGATGTTTACATATCGTTCAGATTTCCACTTCACCCTTCCAAACATTGTACATCAATCCTAATATATTTTAGACCACACTGAGTATCATTAGGATACTCCATAGTAACTCACCTTGAATGAACATCATTTTGATGTGGCTTATTCCTCTCAGTAATCGAGACTTGTTGGCACCATCCAAACGATTTGAACGTGTTTCGGTATGTACTCACAACGACTCGTATAACCACAATGCACCTCATCAACCATAACGCACTTGGGAAGGGCACGTCACACGCAGTGACACTTTCGTTACAATAGATAGAAAAGCCTTTTTAAGCGGATAGACACTTACATTTGCAAACAGATCGGATGTTTTGACAATACAGTCTTCCCTGCTAGGAAGGGCTGTCACGTGTGGGAGGAAGGAATTTCTGCCTTTTTATTCACACGAGCTCACATGTTGCTWGTCCTGTTCGTCCGGATTGCTGTTCATCTGCATGTTCTATAATCCTACTGGAAATCARACGATAAGCATATATGCTCTAAGACTTGCCGATGTGAGGGTCATTTAGAGAATTAACAGTCTTTAAACAACAGGCTCTAATGGATCTTTAAAAACAGATTGGGAGTATTTTATAGCTCTAGAATCGTCATCGCGAATATAATCCCTGCTATTTCTGCGCGACTRAGGCACATATAACCCCACTATAARGGAACTATGYGGCCATTTTTAGCGACCTATCATGAGGGTTTGATTACTTTATTCACGAGTCTTTTCTCTGTTATCGACTGAAGAGGTCCCACTCATTCCAGCCTGTCATGATAGAACCATGATAAGATATCTTACTGACTAAAATCATGTTCTCGCTCATGATATGCGATAGCAGGCAAATCCAACCCATTCACTTTATTAAGCTCTCATTTAAGGTGTTTTAGTGGTCAATTGTTCATAATCAATGATGGGAATCTRAAAGTCTTTGTCGGTAAGCTATATTTAAGCCAACACGTTTGATTTTCATAATGCCAGGCCATGGTCAATGAATTTCAAGTGTTTTTTAGTGATATTTGCTAATGGGTTTCAGACAACTAGACGGTAGTGTGTGAATTATCTTTGATCAGTAACTGTCATAAAGAAAACGTAAAAAAKCTGTTGTTTCTATTAACGCKATATTTTGAGTTTATTCAGCATGGCGTCCAGTGACCACGACATCATGGCCGACATCGTAACGCGCACAAAAACATCAAACTAACCGATCCACATGGAAATCAATATACCTTTTTACTACGAACGCCCTTCTTGGTTGTTTCATACCATAATGATACCATAATGTCAAAGTAACGGTTTATTGTAAAACCAATCACTCAAGCTTTCAAGGTGCTAAACGATTGCCTTTTTTGTTCAATGTGATACCCCTTAGGAGGCTGTCACTGCTAACTAAAGGTCTTAGGGGACACAGCAGTCAGCATCTTGTACTGACTTGAGAAAGCCGAACTGGTCAAGCGCTAGCGATGTTATAATTTAATATACTATCTTTCACATTGCCAAACAACAAAGAAAATATTTAATAGCTAAAGTCAATCATGATCAAAGTAATAGTCATTAAACTGGTTTGGTCTTATAATTATATGGTCTATGGCTAATATTAATTATTTTATAAAAGTCCAATATAAGAATGATATGACAATTACTCATTTTAATGATTGTTTTTCAATTCTACTTAATGTTCTGGAAAGAAAACTGATAAACATTTCTCTCATGGTGACGAAAATCCAYTTTTGGAATGAACATGCATTTATGACGTACGCCAAGAATGACGAGAAGCCATTATAGCTAATTGTTAATCTAACTAAAATGAGAATAATTAGAGAAATGAAGGCACAGTTAATGTGGAGATGTGATATCTGTGTATTCAACAATTCAGTGATTTAGGATCTAGGACTGATTGGGTTCGAGTGGTGCTTATAAWGACTATATTTCAGAGTTTCTAGAATGCATTTTAAAATAAAATATAACAATATTTTTGGGAAACGAGCTATTTATAAAAGGTTYAAACAATTAACCAATCACAAAAGAGAAAAAAATTATGCAAAWTGATCATGTATCAAACAGTTGTTGGTATAACTGAACCAGAGAGTCACTAGGGGGTGTAAGGAGCTATCAATTGGGATTAAGAACCCCCCGCTCACATCTGGCTCCCACGGCTTCTRCCACTCAGCTATAAAACAATTTGAGTGATTAGCATTACTATATTGATGCATGACTATGTTGATTTGCTTGGCATTCAAGTTTTTTTCATGACGCGTATTTGAGTCAACTTCCAATCATGGACTTGCGCTCGGCTCAGCCACAAGGCAAAATACTTTTTTTTCTCTTGCCGATGACACAACACCAGTTGTCTTTTCTACCTATCAAATGATCGATAATTTTGATCATTGAATAAGTACTATTTTGAGAAAATATGCTCTTAATTTCCTGTTGGGTCAACAGAGACGGAAATTAGAAAATAATCAAACTGCATACGATGTGTCGACGTTGGTTAGTGAATCAGTGGCATTTCAAGATGAAGTATACTAGTATGTGCCATTGACTCTAGTGAAGCTCAAAAATAGATTCTGTGTTTGGATGTAATACCATGGGCTCCTGGTAATACCGAATTATTCGTGAACACAGGTAGTTAGCCCTCTTAGAACGACCACCCTCGTAAGCGACCATCTCCAATAAGTCACCATTTCTCACAAGCGACCACTCCATTAATTTCCCCGTTTTCGGCATAAAAGCTTTTGTAATCAAGTGGAAAATAGTTAGGAATAATATGCTTTTGTTTCAAGTTGCATAACTATTGTAGTTATATTCAGATTCTTATAAACGGTCCAATCAATTCAATTTTGCTGATATGCCTTCGCGGCCGTTTCGCGATTGAATGAATGGGTTTCCTGTGTATCTCCCCTAAACGACCACATTCTGCTGATTCCAAGGGTGGTCGTTTGCTGGAGAGTTAACTGCATTTGGAAAAGATATTGCTATTATTAATAAACGGTAACAAAATACAAGGAAAAAAGAACTTATAATCAAATACATTAAATCGTTAAAGAAATCAGAACCTGGAAATCACGGAAAATAAGAATTTTGTTCCCAGGCTTTTCTCAGCCAAATTCAATATGGCGTAAACATTTCTCATGATGATTGGATTGGTCTTCAACAAATTTACAATGAAACTACCTATGCTTGGAATATAAACGTACAAGAAGTATAGTATCGTTTTTGGAATATCATTTTGATATTATGTAGTATTTTTAAATGAGATATTTTGACCCGTTGTCGAAAATGGAAGACTCAAAGCTGTTGACATTGATGTTGTTGTCAGCCATCGCTGTGGGCCAATGCTATTCAGGTTGGTATTCTGAAGTTAAATCGAGTTGATGCGTTATTTTTTGAGACTATAGTATGGATTATTTGTCTGTGGAAAAAGGCATCACTTGAACAGCGATTATAGAGTAATCGTATCATGCACTTACAACAACAACAGCYCTTTACAAATCTTGATGTAAGACACACTATTTTATGACAATTCATTGTGGAAGTGAACATGACGGGTATTTAATGATGAAATACTTTTCTTATTCAATAACGTTCATGCTGATACTTCTGATGACTTAAATGAAAAGTATGCTAATTATTGGTATACTATATTTCAAATGTATATATAAAGTAAATAAATATCCTGTGTTTCACATTGCAGATAAGTTATAAGTTCTCTATGCATTTCTGAGTCTGTATTGCTATTCCTTTATGCTTTTGACTTATGCTACAGTAYCAAGTGGATATTCTCTAATTAACTAAAAAATCTGAAATTTTTACTTTAGGCAATATGCACATGAAAGTTTGTCCTGGTCGTTACTGTGGACGAATTGTGCAAGGCAATACAAGTCAAGAAGTTGGAGAGTGTGGAGTAAGTTTAGGATTGACATGTTCATTATTGCAGTTATTATTAAAGTAATATCAGAAACCTATAAGGGACATGAAACGTGTAATGCTGTGACAACCGATGGAATATTCAAATCTAATTTGCATAACATTTCCTTATTTGGAACAATTAAATTTATCCTATAGCCAACCAGAACGYGCCTGAACTCTTTTATACAATGGTCGAATTTTCCAAACATGGTCATAACGTTTGTTTTCGAATTTTCAATGAGCTTAGAAAAAAAGAAATGTACAGGCGTTACATGTTTCAAGTCCCTTATAGGTTTCTGGTAATATGTAATTGATAAATATGAGGAGCATTATATGCGATTGACAGATAAAATATTATTTCACTGTGACATAAGCATGAATAGGTGAAAGGTGAAGCTTTTTTATATTCTATAAAGGCACTGAAAAGCCTTATTCAATCTCTGAGATCATGATTTATCTATTTTATTTATTTATTTATTTATTGTTGTAAACAAACTTAGATCGCCTGTAATTTTCCAACATTAGGCATGTCCCAGGGGAAGTCGTAGTGATGGAACCTTTTGTGTGAAGTGTTCTAACAGCCTTAGCATGTATGACTGGTTGTATTTGGGCTTCATGTTTCTGACAGTCCTGGTTCTACATTGGTTCTTTATTGATTACTTTTCAAAGAGATCCAAGAAGGTGTAAGTATTGACATTGCAATATGCACCATATATTAACCATATATACACATAAAAGAACTTGATATGATACTTTATTACCATGTCTTCCTCACCAGGATAGTGATCCTCTTCATCTGTGCTGCAATTGAAACACTTTGTGCAGCTATTGTTACTCTCTTGTTAAATGAACCAAAAGGTTGGTATTTTCTCATTGTTACTAAAATACAATTCTGGCAAATAATGGCCATAAAAATAATACAAAAATAATAGAAAAAAAAAATTCAGAACATTTCCCTTTGTCCTTCCCTGGATGCAATCTTGAAATTAAAAAAAGTTGATCAGTAAGCATGCAATTCATTTGCACCTACAAACAAGAATTATTCACACATGCAATCTTTGCGAGCTCTTTGATGCAAAGGTAGAGCTACCAAAATCTTGCATGGAAGTATAAATGACAATATTGTAGAGGGCAAACACTATGTTAACACAATCTACTTATTAATGCAGTTAAAAGATCTAGAATTTTATATTTTCAGGTTCATTAAATCTAATATCCTGTAAATCAGAGCAGTTGTCAGATTGGTACACCGTCTTCTTTAATCCCAAACCTGACTATGTCAATACAATATACTGTACAAATGAAGCAGTTTATCCATTGTAAGTATTATTTTTTTGCTTTAATCCCAAACCTGACTATGTCAATACATTATACTGTACAAATGAAGCAGTTTATCCATTGTAAGTATTGGTTTATCTGGGATAATATTGCTGTTATTCACTTTTCTAATCCATCAACAAAAGACACTTTTAAAAAATGGACAAAACCAGGAGGAAAGAAAACTAAAAATTGTCTCGACATTTCAACCAATGAGATCACAAAAACAAGCAACTTAGCATTCTATGCAGGAACCTCCTTTTGTTGGGGTTCCTGAGCTAAAGATAAGACTGTAGAGACTGGGAATGAACAAAGAAAAAATAGGAGCAGTGGGAAGAAAGAGGGAAAAAATGTATGGTTTTTACTCCTCCTGTTTGCTCCTCTGCCATTTTTGCCCACTTTTCCCCAGTGCACCTCACCTTTTCTTCCATAGGAATCCCAAAATAGATGATTATTAAGTGCGCTTTCCATTTGTCAGAACTGGCTGGCCAGACCCAGAGAAAATGTCATATATATCATTTCCATTTAGTTATGAAATTAAAATTTTCAAATTCTATCCATTATTCTACAGAAAACCTCGAAATGACTGAAAAATGTTGACAAAAAGCATTGTATACCTCTAAATAGAGTGGACTGGCCGGCCAGTTCTGCCTAAATGGAAAGCACCCTAAGATAGTTGAGACCAAAATTGGTGATTAGTTTGTGCAGTTGTTGCTAGTAAGCTGCATCATATCAATATTAACTTAGGGTAATATCACGTGATATGATTTTCTTTACAGATACACAATTGTCCTTACATTCTTTGCCATGTCAGTGGCCTTGTTGCTGCTTGTGAGACCCATTTCATCTCACTACATTTGTGCTGATCAAGGCATCTCATCAATATATGCTGCCTTGTATTTCCTACCCATCCTGGCGACTGTACATGCCTTGTTTGGTGGTCTTCTCTGTGAGTAGAGTCTTGACTATTTAAATAAATAGTTTTTTCTAAGAGTGCGATGTGAATGCGGCYAATGAAGTGTCAGTGCATCCCTATAACCAGACATGAGTTTATACCAGACATGGTATGTATTTGTTTTGCAGACTACACCTATCCTTATATAATTGTTGTATCAGCAATTTTAAGCAACGCTACTGTATTAGCAAGAAACCGTATAATGGTAAGAGATTATTAAAGCATATTGATAAATTTTTGCCTGCATAGTTGATAGAATCATAATAAAAGTTTATATTTATATGGTTTAGATAATATGCGGATAAATGAATGTACAAATATGGATCATGTTCCTGTTTTTTTTTTCAACTGATATGGATCATGTTCCTGTATTTTTTTCAACTGTCAAAGCTAATTGCTTTTGTAAAAACTAGTAAGATTTACCATCTTGGGTAAAATTGTCTAAAATTATTCCTTTGGTTTGCTAGAGGAATGTCATATACATGTATTATAGTAGCTTAATATAAAAATTAGGTAAAACCTAATAGCGGAGCTCCCAAAAGATATGCATGTTGGATAAAGATGGGATGCATGACACATCGATCAGATTTTGAGTACATGTTTTGTCAAGACTAATTTCAACTTGTTTGAATCAATCTCTATCAGTCAATTGCCATTGAACATGCACAGTTTGACAGTATTTCTGTCTACTTGATTATATATCTAAATTTGTTTATTGTATCATTAATATTGTGTGTGTTCAGGGATTCCGGCAATTACTATCAAGTAAAAGACACATAGGCATCGTACTTGGCCACTGGACTCTTCTAGCCTATGGATTCCTTGGCCTAACACAGCTAGCCCAACCAGCAATACATGGACCAATGTTTATTCTTGTTACAGCACCTGTATTGTTTTATCTTGCTACATCATCATTGACAGATCCAATCAAGTTTAAACGATAATTTGTACAATAGTAAAAGTGGATGTTCATTGAAGAGATTAGAAGTCAAAATAGTGATGTAGAATATGTAGGTTTTTTTTAGCTGGTAGTCATCAAAATATGAATTTCATTGTTTTCTTATGTATAGTGATACGTGTTTTTTTGTGTGTCTTTTTTTGGCAAGTTGGTTTGTTCAAACAGCTAGCAATTGCTATATGGTTATTGGTATTATTGGCTTCAAATGAAGGCTGACACTTCTGTAAATTATGCTGATCAAGCACTAAAATGTAAGGCAAGCAAAAACACTCATGAACACACTTGGTCTCGACGTAGGTAGATCGTTCCACTCAATACACATTGGCCTCTTTTGTAAATAGTGGTGATTATGAATCAATAATAATGCGATTTATCGCACTCTAATCGGTTTGTTTCAAAGGTTTATGAAATAATTAAAGATACAAACAACGAATTAAAACGAGTAGATGTCATGATATTGTCTATAAATGATTTGTTTTTGTTTGCTGTTGTTAATTTGTATAAAAAGACTATAATAATGGCTAAGAATCACAAATCAAGTATTTCAAGACGGCTTTTTCAAAATAGTAGCTCAGTTATAGCAACAAGATAATAATATATGAGAAAATTGGTTGATTGAAATACAGCGAATTTTGATTCTTTATAGGGGTTTTCCCTGACAATACTTTTAAGTGTTAAAAACAGGAAGTTGCTGAAGTTAATAAGAGATATTTACGCCATACAATTGCCATGACGACAAGCTAGTCTCGCATGCTTTCTGACTAAACTAACCGTTCTTGAAATATCGACAAGGAAATGATCATAGATACATAGAAACAGTAACAGATTTTTACTAGCGCTATACGATGACAGGCTGCGAGCTGTCATGATAATCAACATACTTGACAACTTTATAAAACTTTTAAAAACATTTTTGAACGTACTTTTACTGTCTTATCTGATGATTTGTCTGATATTTTTGGCAATATAAGGTTATGTACTTTGTTCATATTTTGTAATTCATAATGGTCAATCTTTAATATCTTCGAATATCTTTTTTTCTAGCATAAAAGTCACGTGACCAAGTTCGTACACTGCAGCTGATCGGATAGAGAGCAATATGTCAGGAAAGAAAAACGAATAGTGCTTCCGATTTAATTACTGAAAATGCTGATATTTTATCTTTGCGTCCAGATAGATTTTTCTTCAATAGCATTCTCTGAGCATAGTCTTAGATGCCATTTAATTGCGTTATGCGGTATGCTTTGCAACGACGATTACAAGTCAGTTCCGGAATGCATATTACAAAAGTTAATCAATTAAGCGGGATTCAGATCATCGAATGTAAGAAAAAGTCCCGAGAATGACTTAACGGATGCTGATCAACAAGCCAACAACCGGGGAATTTCCACCGATTAAGAAATACTCTTAAAATATCCAGATACAGACAACATTATCCATGGAATAGAAACACTAAACTCAATATTGGCACAAATTGTATGATAGAATTTTCCAAAGAGTTTTTTTTAAATCGTCGGCATAAAGATGCAATACGTAATTTTAGTATTACCCATGCAGCCTTTCGGTCTCAGCTTCCGTATTCTATGATTTTGAGCGTACCTAGTGCACGATTGAAACCGGGGGTAAACCGTTATTCACGATACAAAATCGATCTCTTTGGCCCATCCTTCGTAAAACCGGCCCCAATGAGTAGAAACGTATAAAACATTTATTATTTTTGAACTCAGAGATGATCAAGAATCTTTTAAAGAAATATATTTGCGAAAAGTAGACGGAAACGTTTAATGCAGGAAATGCAAATTATCGTACACGGAAAAAAAATCATCGTAGCGAATATCCGTCCGAGACGAAGTCAGGGTGAGTATTAAACTGTCAAGCACCATCCATGCGAGCGACGTACGACGGGATTGTGCGTGGTAATAAATAGCTAGCATTCTTCGTCATACCTTAGTCAAGACAGACAAGACGACGAAGAACCAACTACTGATAAACCGTATCGTGATACGACTTGCAATGGGTAGAGTACAGGTGAGCTTGCTCAGTGTTCATTTTTACTTTTTTTACTTTCTTTTTGTTCATTTTGCCAAGTGAGTTTCTAGTCTTTTTTCAATCTATTCTTTACGTTAGTATTTGAATAGTACTTTTTGGATTTTTTTGTACACTTCAGAAAATTTACTTAGGCTTGAGGAAAAGCTAGTAAAGCGACATATTTCTCTAGGTCGTTGCTACCTTTTTAGCTTCTGAATTCAGTTCCTTCAAGGATTCGAACTGTTTTTGCGTAAGGCCCCCCTGTGGCTATCACGATTGCTAAATGCCAGTTATGAATGTAAATGTGACAAGGAAATGTCAGTTTGTTACTTGTTTGCTGGCTTTACTGATGGTATCCAAATGATGATGTTTCCATTCTTCAAACTTTCAAATACGAAAATCTGACTTATTTTCTACAATTTCACGCATCCATGGCCATGCGTCGTATAGGTTTTGAGAGGATCTTTGCTTAAGTCAGCAGGATACCAGGGGAAGAGTTGAACAAATATAAGTTACAGAAAAAAAGCTCGTTTGAAAACTATTAACTAACTATGCTGCGACTTATGGCGGAAAAAGTTTCGATAAATCGATCAACTCACTTATTAAAAGTTGATAATATATTTCATCAATACAAAATATTTCATCACTACTAGAAGAGTTTTGGATATAAATGTATGTCTTGTGTTAATAAAGCTTTATCTAAGTCGCAGAAAAATCCAAAATCCAGCAACGAGCTAAAATGCAACGCCGAATTTCGCGATACAAAGCTCTTCCTTGTAACTCAACATGTCGCGATGGAACGAGGCTTTTTCACTTTTAATATTCATTTTCCTAGTTATTTGCCTGCATGTCATAACTAGTCGAATATAGAATTAAAGAAGGAGAAAGGGRGCACTTTCTTTTGAAGATGACTTTCTGGCAAATTGATGATACTTGAAGGCAGCTAGGGGACTCTTGAAGGGGGTTCACCCAGATCCAGTGAAGTAGAAGAAATTTCTTAGTCTCATGAACGCGTTAATTTGTTATCTACAGGTTTTAGTATTTTCCATCTACATTGCAACCCTAGTTCTTCATCTCTGTGAAACAGCATCAACTAAAAGACCATGTGGGGTTCTCCATCTTAAACCACGAGTTCTCATGAACAAGCTAGAAGAGGAAGAGTGGATTGTAGTCAATCGAAATGTCCGAAATCACCATAACAGTAACAGCCGAGTTCCAAGAGTTACTCGAAGCACTAGCTTAATAGAGCCAATCAGCGTTATCAAGAACGGCCATTGTTCGTACAGCATAACGTACGACATCGATCAAGACAGAATACCGAAGTTTTTGCCAAAYGCGACGCTGAATTGTAAGAGCTGTTCTCCTTTGTGTACATCACAAACTGTTTCACATCATGTACTTGTAAGAGATTGTCTCAAGCTTCGTATGAGATCAACAAGAGCAGACATATGGAGAACGTCGACTGTATCTTTACCGTTTGCTTTTACACCTAATTGAAGAAACGTCGTCGGGTCCAAAAAGGTCAAATCATAGAAGCTAAGACCGAAAGGGTACTTGGGAGCGCATATTTTTGTTAAATTGGAAGGTTCCTCTTAAAGTAGGAGATGCATTAGTTTTGTCGGAATTTCTGGATAGCACCAGAGATAAAATTACTTTTAAGTAAAACGATGAATTTTCTTATTATTTTTATTCAATAATAAGAATTTTAATTGTGTACTTGAAAGCAATTTTGTTAGAATTTAAGCATCTGCTTGGTATTTAATATCGTTTAATTTAGATTCTTTACTATAAGGACATATAGGAAGTGGGCCTGGTTTGTTGCATACAGGCTGAACAGATATTATTAATTTATTTATACCGTATATCGGATATGAAGCAGATAAAATTCTGCATAGAATTTAAACCACACAGAATACTAACCATTTGCAGATGGTATAGAGTAAACGTAATAAAGAGCGGGGGTGTCCTCTTATGGCGTAGAAGAATGTGCAGTCTTTTTTTCCAAGCTCACTCAAAAATGAAAGTGGAGTAAAAGATTTTATCATAGATACTACTGGCCTATGACCAATGTCATTAAAAGAGACCAAGAAAGTGAGCAAACCCAACATCATATTTAAAAATTCAACCGCTAGATGGTTGCAATGTGAGGTTGTTCAAAATTACCAAAAAATAGTTTATTAGTTTAATACTCGCAAAACCATATACTCTCTATAAAACTCACATTGTATTGCATTATTTAATAAACATATTTATCATATAATTATCTATGAAATACCTATATATCTCTGATAGATTGTTGGTTTGTTTATCCGAATTTTCCTTTGTTGGCTGAGGGAGAGGGAAATCAGGCATGATGGTCTATCGAATCTCTCACAACAGAGAAATCTGAAATATTCCCTCCTGACTTTATAACACAGTTTTTATCAGAAATCAGTTTTCTTAAGTCGACATCAATACTAACAAGTCGAAAACAGCCGTTGTTAATTGATTTTGAGTCGAATGTTTGATTATTTCTACATTTTTTCGTTGAACCTTAACCATCTCAGTCACGAAATTATTCCAGTGTGTACATCGAGTAATGTTTTTAATATATACCATATATATATTAAAAGCCCTACTGTCAGAATACCTCGCTTTATACAAATATCATAACGACATTGACATAACTTCGTTTTAATTGGAGCATGTAGTGAGATCCTAGCAGTGAAAAATACATTTGTTCACACAAAAAATGGTATATTTACCCATCGTGTTTTGAGCATTATATCTTACTAATGCTATCTTCACCAGCACCATATGTCAGAAAATGTCACCGACATCGATATATCTTGACAAAACTAATATGTATGTTTTTTTCTGTAATAGAAAAAACCTAATCAATAACGTCCCTCTTCCATTTAAAATGTACCAAAAGTTATCGTGTAAGATTTCGGTCAAAAATTAATGTCAGCCGAAAAAGCGATGAATCCACGATATTTTTTCTTCAATGATCAAAAAAGGAGGAACAGCCAATGGTACGTATATGTGGCGATATCAGTTGCCTAACAGGCAGTCAGTGATGTACATTATTTACTATACCCTACACCAGTCTTTGTACATATTCAACTCTGATAACAGTTAATGTACGTGCCAAAGCGGGAACGGTGGCAAAATCCAACAGCACAAGCATGATGCACACAGGGCAGCTAGCATACCACTTTCCACAGCATCGGAACGATTTCGTCTCATAGTGGCCGTTTCATCATAAACGAATACCGTCGACTGGGGAGCAGCGATAGGATATGTTTGGTATGGCTGATATGTGTATATGGGTTGTTGGGAATATACAGCACCTGTAGACCCGTAGACGTTTGGCCGACTTGCATCATAATAATGCTGTGTGGTAATGTACGGCTGTTGATGAGAAGCCATTGTACATTTGTGGCTGTACTGTAACTATTACTTTCAATAAAATGACTTGCCAAAGTGACTTTTGACGATTAGACAATTACCAGAAGTTTTCTTCAAAGGTTTAATCTTACTAGAGAGTTGCCTTGGCTGGTTAACAGTGTTAGTTGCTTTCCAACTTATAAGATACTTCACAATTCTGGCTTGAGTACAATTTTAAGCGTTCAAACTAGACGGAAATACTTCATCAACGAGATATTTTGGGACTTGAACAGCAGAAGAAATCGTGATACAGCAACAGCCGTTTTGAGAATTGTATCTTGTTCTGTACGATGTAAAAATAAATTCAGAGTTTTCCGATAAAACAGTAAACAAGACAGCCGCATAAGGCAGGTGGATATATGCAAATGACGATAAAATCTTACGTCGACTGTGACGGATAGTCAATATTATAATTACATACTAATTTGTAATGAATCTGTCCCCAAGGAAATATAATTAGGAATTTCCTCTTGCATTGGCTACCATTGTAAACGAAACTGACGATTGTTCATTTATTTGGATTTTTTTTGGAAAAGAAAACTTGATGAAATATTCAATACTCACGCGCCTACGACTTTTCTTAATGTTTTTACATATACCTACCTAGGTTATTGAATATTTATAAACATAGCAGTCAAATCAGCCATCACATTAGCGACTGCTGGTGTTACTAAAAATAGAGCAATGACCACAGGAAACCCAACAAAAACTAGTCTGTCACCTCCAAAAGTGTGTAATTCTGCTGTATATATCGGTTTGGAAATAATAACATATAACTGTACGACAAAGTTTCTATGAAAGCCATTAAAAAAAAACACACTTTAAAAAATATTAAAACAAATGTTTTTCAACAAAAACGTCTTGACAGTTTATTTTCTCTAAATAGCTTGAGRGTCGCTTTTTGGATATATATTTTATTTATAAAATGTAATAGTTTCTTCCATACTAGGCTGCTATTATCTGCTGACCATGATTTTATGGATGAAGGAACTTTACTTCGTCCTTAACTTGTTTATATACGGTCATAACACAACCTTTCACTCAACGGGACTCCGTGGCGCAATGGTAGCGCGTCTGACTCCAGATCAGAAGGCTGCGTGTTCAAATCACGTCGGGGTCACAAATCTTTTTTTTTTTTCATGGTAATTTTTCTCATTTGATTTACACAAAAACTTTACACACAATATTYTTTACAAAAAATAATTCAAAACATTTTAGTTCAATTTTTACTTCTTTTCAGAACACTTTCAATCAATTTAATCTGGAATGTACTTCAAGTCACAGGAGACTCAATGCTTACCCTTATCCAGAACTTAACCACAGACATACCCGTAAAAGTTTCTAAAAGTAGGATTAATTCATATAAGATACGTACATAGTTATGTTTAGGAGTTATTATCGGTTTAGCTCTTTAACTAATATTATCAGTATTTACTACTACAATTCAAGCATTTTTGGACACAATAGCAGGGTTAGTTTATCCAGAAGTATTATCAAGCTGCCAATGGCAACATAACTCGGAGATTGTAAGAGCTGCTTTTGCAAGATGGTCAGCTGTATTTTGAGCATTTTATTAACACATTAGATAAGTTATTTACAAAAACATGTAAATAGGTGATCATAAAAAATCAGAACAATAAGATCAGAACAATACTGGGAAAAATGCAATTCAACATTTAAATTGGATTAAAAAAATAGTATTAACTAACAAGATAAGTTATTAGTGAAAAATTTGAGGAGCTAATGCCTTCATGTATTGAAAGAACAAGTGAATTGGACTTTGTTTTGAGCTCCTTTGTTGAAGTATGAAATCCACATTGTTCTTTTGATTATTCTTTATGCTCTTGATTTGCAGTTTTGCAGAATTATTCCAGTGCTTTTCTTCCAATCACTGTTAAGCGGATTAAGGTTTATTGATAAAAATATAAGCTTATTAGTTCAGAGAGACATCGAAATTTATAAAAGGAAAAGCTTCAGCTTAAGTTACATGTAAATTAACAAAGGCGACATAAAGTTCGAAGTGTCTGTCTCAACTTACATGCCCGGCTGCCGTGTAAATAGTGGAAGTCAAAATGTCCGTTTGCGAAAAAAAAAATACAGAATTACTGAACAAAAGTCTTTGGTTAGCTCTAGGTTAGGTTTAGGGTAAGGTTTGGGTTGGGTTTAGCGATGAAATTAATGATTTAGTCTCGGTACGTAAGCTAAAAATTTGAAAACAATGAATACTCACGGGCAGGTTGACACAGTGTAAAAAGTTTGATTTGTAATTCATATGATAAACTTAAGATTTAAGTATGTCATTGCTAAGCTTTGTACATTATTATCTTACCTTGAAGTCTAAATTTAGAATAGAAACCGTCCATTTGCTTGAAGTTTATTTATAAGGCCGTGAAAGCTACTTTTAGCAGAGACGCCATGTTGACACGTACTCGAAGCGAAAACCCAGTCAAAACTTATTGCAATCGGTACAATTCTACGTCAAACAATATAATTTTTACAATTTTTTCTCCTCTTGAATCCAGGTTTTTAAGTTAGTGCGATGGGTCAGTTGTTTTCGGCAAATATCGATTGAATCCACAGCATATAACACAGGAAACCCATCATGGTGAACCTTATTTTATTTATGACCGATCGCAAAAATTAAAAGAATTTCTTAAAAACAAAACTTTATGCAGAAACATGTTTGTTATTATTAGAAAAAGGAGAAAAAGAAAAGAGAATCTCCAAAACATCAAAAAGAAAAAAAGAAAAAAATGTCCTGTCTCAAGCTGGACTCGAACTGCGGTGCTCCCAATAAAACTACTAAAACACGCCAGATTTAATGAAAGTGTCACCGTGGCACAATCGGTTAAGGCGCTTGGCGTACATTCCAGAGGTCGCGAGTTCGAAACCTGGTGGGAACATGAAATAACACAGGAAGGCCATCTAAATGAATTTCCTTCAAAATGCAAATTTACAGAAGTCACTATAGTAACCAAAAATTAACCGGAAGTTTACAGAAAACGTAACAGGAAGTTTACAGGAAAGTGACCGAGTGACAGCCTGTCCCCTCCCAATAACTCTACGATTGCTTACGCAATCTCCGAGTTAAAAATGAATGATGTCAAATACTAATTGGCAATCAACAACAAAACAACGTTTTTTATCTTCAACTTGATATTTATTTATATTTCATTGAGGAGGCGGTTAAGATGGTCACCTATTTGATTTGTGTCACCTAGAATGAAATAACACACACATTGATTAATACATTTTAATTCATTTAATGAAGTAATTAGAAAATCATTAAGAGGTTATTTTTAAAAATTCACAAAATTCAACAGCAAAATCACAAATTCATCATACACCATGTTAGTTCTAATTTTACATTACTATGCATGCTTCCTTTTCACTTTTTGTATCAGAAACTTGGAGCAAGACCAAAATGAATAAAATGACATAACATGAGGGAGAAAGATACAAAAAATAGCCTAGACACATACAGTCCATTGACTACCATTCTCTCTGCTATTAAACATTGAAGTATAAAAAATACAATTTTAGGGTAGCTGGAATTCCATCATTCATACATGCAGAGTAATGAATAAATTTGATCCATTTGCAATCATTTTAAATGAAAAAAGTGCATAAAACAAAACATAACAATTTTGCCCAAAATATTGTTATAGATTACAGTAATGGACAGAAATTTTTCAAGTGACTTTAAATAAAAAAAAATGGAAAAAGTTAATCAACAGATGAATGAATGATTGAAGGAATACATGAAATATAGAGCTAAAAGCTTTGATTGAAGTAATAGATACAGTAAGTTACCTAGCAAAATGTTGCCATATATTCAGAACATCAAAGAGTTTATATTGAGAAAAGATTCATCATATTTTCTTTTGTTTTAAATAATTATTTTCTTTCTTTTTTTCTTGTCATTAGTTTTGTATCAAAAGATAACATTGTAGATTATAGTAATGTCATTAAACAATCACCATACTTTAATGCAGTTTTAAGTTTATAGTAGATTAATAGAAATTCTTTTAAGTAAAGTTAAGTATCCTTACCATGTAGGCTACATGCTAGGTGCAACTTGCTCTGGTTTTCCTCCCTTGTGTTCGGACGTGGGTTGTGTGGGGAGAAGCTCATCCTTTGGTTCGACAATGCTAACTTGATCAGGTAGAGGCTTCTTGGGTCCAGTCTTGCCAGTGGGATCCCATGGCAGCATAATTTTGACTTGGATACCAAGTACACCTTTAAACCAAAAATAACAATGATAAGACAAAAGATTTTTGCCTAATGAAAGACAGCAATATCATGTAGGCTTTCGACATTGATCCTTTGCTAAAACCTTTTATACAAGTACCGGTTTCTTTTATATTGAAAAAATGACTTATTCTAGTCTACTTCTGGCTCTAATATACAACCAAATAATGACAATAATCTCAATTTACAGCTATTTTATAAATACTGAATAGTGCAGGTCAAAAAATGACAGCAGTTTAACGTGAAGACTTGATGCCTGGCAAAGCTCAAACAAGACCAGTCAAAGTATCTTTTAACTTAAAAAATGTCCATTCAGACAGGTCAAACAAACATTTTAACTGGACTATCTTATGCCCTGTAGTTCATGTACTAGCATATTTTGCATGTTTTGTGCTTGGCATATAGAGTGCACACCACAAAGGCGTGAAACATTTGTTGATAATCAACAACTAATAAGCTTTAGTTATCAACCAACTAAGAATTCACTGGGGCATGAGCAATGCAAGAATAGGAAATTTTCTTTGTTTATGCCTTACTGAATTCTTAATTAGTTGATAACTAAATCTTATCAGACTCTAATTAGTGAAGAATTGTTTCACACTTATGTGGTGTGCACTCTAGTATGATTGATTACGTATCAGTTCTATTTATCACCTTGTCTCAGGTACACATGACGTACGGCTGTATCTACATAATGTTTGGTTGGCTCTCCAGCATGGATCATAAGACCATCAACAAACTTCATGGACTTAGCACGCTGTCCTCTTAATTTYCCAGACACAACAACCTCACAGCCCTTAGCTCCACTTTCCATGATGAAACGCAGGACACCATAGCAAGCTCTACGCACAGCCAATCCACCAATTAGCTTGTATCGCAGGGATTCACACTGTGCAATGGCACAAAGACCTCTTGTTGCAACTTTCTCAGCATACAGCTGAATAAGAACAAAGCAAAAGAGTCAATTGTAATATTTAGAATTACCATCTGAATAAAACATTTTTCATGTTTGTTTCTGCTGAACATGACCTCCCTAGCATCGGATYCCAAGAACAGTTCACCAATAGTAGCATCCAACATCGACTTAAGAAAATATAGGATAAAATGTTAAACAAAAGCAATGATAACAACACATTACCAACCTCGACAGTTCCCTCYTTGAAGCCAAAACGTTTCTGCACAACAGACGTCAGTTCACGAATTCTTCTACCCTTCTCKCCAAGAACATTTTGTGTTCGTGTTGCCAGGATAATAATCTCTGTCCTGATTGGAGTAACACGAACTTCTACACCACTYTAGCCATCCTCAGCCAATTCCCGAGTTAAAAACTCATTAAGTTCAGCTTTGAAAATTCCGTCAGCGACGAACTGAAAATCGAGGAAATAACATWAGAAATATATTGGATCGAAAGAATAATAAACAAATAGGATACCCTACATATTGTTCACACTACATATTCAATACATAAAGATTTTATAAAAAATTTTAAAGAGATATAGACAAAAGTTTTGACGATATGCGGAATTGTTGTTATTCAAAATGTTTCGGTACTACACGGAATCCACTAAAATCTAAGTGAGTAGGCAGCCATCGAGCTTCTGTCGTTTATTTGACCAAACAAGTACACATCATAGAATCTATACACATTATATTTTAATTCAATGGTTTATTTAGACTCGCATAAATACCCAGARCTTACCTTCTTCTTTTTACTGATCTGGGCAGCCATGATGACTTTCGCCAAAGAGAACGATCCCACAATCCCCCACAGCCCAAATTTTTTGGTTTACGCATGCTCAATAGCTATAACTCCGCCATGTTTGGAAAGAGTGTTCGAGGGATAAGTGGTTGTTTTTCAAGGATTTCGTCCTCACAGAATCTCCTGGTATGATTGAAAACAATTTTGAGATAAGGCAAAGCATCATCAAATCAAACTATCGTATTTTCTTGCAGAYAAATGCAACAAACCTTGGAAAATTAGGATCAAGTAAAGTTKGGAATGGTAAACTTTCCACACGTGKATTTGTCTATTGCTTGGATTTTGTCTGATAAATATTGCTGTTTACAGTTTCAGCTCTTTCATCAGCCTTACAATTACGGCTGGCCAAAGGAAATTCATCCAAAAACTTGTAAGTTCCAAATCKTGAAAATTGTGATTATTCAGACTGATGGCAGTGAGAGACTGGCACTAGTCTATAATTTGTGTAATTTTGAGCTTTTTCTCTCTAGAATATCAATGCAAGAAAAATATGGTAACAACATTTCAAAGAGTTTTGTATCAATAGCATGTTCATGTAAGTATATTTCTTATTTTTAATGAAATCTGTCTCTTTTTGTAATATTTGGTAATTATTATATTTRCACATGGTCAGTTTGTAAATTATCGAAGCTGCAGGGTTTTTTTTGGAACTTTTAACGATTATTAAGATTATTTCTAATAAAGTATTAACTTTTTTGTTTTATTTTTACTTTATTAAGGTGAATCTCCTCAGATTTTAGTTCAACTAATCCAAGAATCTGGAATAGGAACTGAACTTCAAGAAGATGATGATGAAATGTCTAGTGTTTCAGGGAAAAAAAAGCATAGGCGAAAACAAAAATACTGACATCAAAACCACAAAGCAGCTATGGTAAAATTGAACTCATCAGTACTCACTGAACATTATTGAAATGTTATTTACTTTTCTTGAAAATATTGTGGAATAGCTTGTGATCTAATAGCCTAACAGGTTTACCAGTTTACTAAATAATCAGTAGTTAGTTGCTTCAAGTACATGTTTTGGTTTGAAAAAAGTTACATTTGAGTTTTTTGTGTGAAAAGGCACCTTTCGGAAGCAACAGGATGCTCACATAAGTAATATGATAAGAGAGCCTCTGAAATAATCACCCAGATCTTTTTTTATATATATTAACTCACAAATATTAAGTATACTTTGAATGAAGTCAAAAGTTTCTCTAAGTTGTTATTATCAGTGTTACATGTACACTACAATTTTGTTATATAATGTACAAGTATATTTTATACCGAAATCTATAAAATTAATATTCAATGTTATATTTTAAATATAAGGTGTGCAGTGACTTTCAGTTGTGTTTTTATGATTTTTTTAGTATTTTGATGATAATAATATAAATGAAATAATGTAACTTTCTAAGCATAAATATTAACTATGGCAAAAGTGATTCAGTAAAGCAGCTCTTTATCTAAGTTTGTATCATTAGTGGGAGTTATGTAAGTTGGTGTAATTCTGTCAACATTTTTGTAGAGATTAASTGTGGTATAAATAATTGTGGGATTTTGAAATTCTGGAAAGAGAAAAGAAAGCAACTGCCAATCAGAAGCTAGTGTACAAAGAATTAATAGTGCTATCAACTGGATACAAAAGTGCAAATTCATTCATTCTGATGATGACCTTTTAGTCGAAAACATTTAAGTTTTTTCCTTGAAATTATTATTATAATACTAGTCTCRTTCACATCTGTTCGACACAAAAATGGATGCGAAGGAGACTATTTTTATACATATCCTTTCATTAATGTATAAAAGTGCAATAAGTTAATAGCTTGAAATAGTACTGACCAAATTTTACTAACAGCACTGCTAGATTAAGCAATACAAAGGAATTTGCAAGTGCCATTTGGCAGTATTTGGTTAATTGAGTATTTCATGCTATTGGTGTTCYCACTCCAGTAAATCCTTATATGGATAAAATGAATGCATGCATGCACTGCATAACGTCATCCACTTTGCATCTAGAAGACAAAAGCCTCCAGAAGAAGCTTCTTTGATGTTGATGAAAGGGGTCTAAATTACAGTAAATTTGATTTAGCAGAGAATATCACTGTAATTTTACAAAAAGTCAAATTTCTGTTCCAAATATGTRGTGCTCTGCTATGGCTGGTGTTTTGTTTTCTACAGGTGCTCGTGCGTGCATCTCATCACGCAACACTGATTATTATGACGTGGTATGATGATGACCCTATTCTACCCAATCACAGACGTTCTTGAGGACAACTCCTTCCYTCCGCCTTCTTCATTCTCTGCAGACGAAAAAGCCTGCCCAGGAGACTATTTTGGTCGTCATAGTATGTAAATTTTCCTTTAGTATTACATCAGAAAGTAGCTTCTTTGAGTGAATAAGAAAAAATGTTGCGAGTTGRTGGTCGTGGAACTTTCAGTTTGGGTCGAGTTGCAATTCGATGTCTATCAACAACAACGTTAAATGCAGCTCCATCAGGAACATCGACTAAGGTATATAAAATTGATGATTGTGTAGTTCTTTGTCTTTAAAATTTGAGTTTTATTGATATCCGATATGACGGTTCTAGTTAGAACTGCAAAAGTAATGCATTTTAGCGTCAAATCAGCGGTAAAAACATCTTGGAAATGTATTTTGCGAACTCTTCTTGCACCCCAAAAAAAACATTCCGGAGAGATAACTTYTATAAAAACAGAACAGCACAAATAAGCTCGCTGTTTGCTGTTTTTTAGGCAAGAAAAAGAGATACATTGAAAGATTGAGAGCTCACAAAGTTATTTCGATACTTTGTTTGAGAATCTTAAAAATAGTAGTGAAGTAGATCGGCTGAAAGGAAATTCGTGCTTTTCTCGGAAGCCATCTTAGAGTCAGGTCAAGGTTAGCCATCTTAAAAGAATATCTTTTCTCTCTTTGTTGATGCATATAGAGGTTCGTTTCAAACATCGCTCAAAGATGTCTTGAAATGATTTGATATAAGGCGCTCTAAAAGCGTTTTTTTATCGAACGTGGATCGCGTGAAGAGTGACAATGGCAGGATCAAAATAAAGCTCTGTCTGTAGACAAACCGTATTCCACACTGTTATAAGTGCAAAATTATCGAAATATTTGCCTGTACTGTAGACTTCAAGCCTTAAACTACGAAATATTCGTGAATGCCTTTCTTTAGTCCTAAAATTATTGCCTACCAGCTGTTGTAGATCTGTTTTTCCTCGATTATATGATAGTTTCAGGGGGTCGATTCCTGGTCTGTTTTAGTACATGAGTAAGGGCACGAATTATCCAAATCATCTCACAAACTCCACACATAAAGAATTTCTTGGCCATATAACATGAAAGGTGTAAAATACACAAAAACATAATCACCTTGAACAATGTTTTTATCACACCTTAAACAATGGTTAAAACAATTAGTGAATAAAAAGCAAGGAACAAAAAATCATAGTTAAATCATATTAACTATGAAAAAATAGATAAAACAAAAAAAAACTTTGAAAGAAATGTCCAGAGTGCTTTAGATTTTAATAGATTTAAGATAGATGCATAAACCAAACTAGTTATCCAGGATGTGCACATAACCCTTTGACACATTAAAAGAATTACATATAATAATAAGTGCACCCAGAAAATAAATTGCTCTTGCAACAATTGAGCAAAACTTGCATCTGAATGCCTATGAATCATGTTYATAAAAAAGTAAGATGGGTTGATATCCAAAGTTTGGATTTTATATAGCAGGTAATATGCATTATTAATGAATAGCACTCTTGTTGAAGTGCAATTTTTTTTTGATTTATGGATTGTGTGTTTTAAGTACTATCAAACTGAATAATGTTGTAAGGAGGCCATGTTTTTTTATTACAGTCTACTTCAGGATATTTCAGCCTAATTCTTCATTAATCAAATATTATTACTGTTGATGTGCTTATTGACAGACTGGGAGGGTAGAATGGGAAAATATTAGTAATAAAGGTCGTGTTATACAGAACAAGCACAGCTTGAGCATGTTAAGGCCTGGGTTTTTCGGAAATATTTGAAAAATGATTTCTCAGTCACTATTTCATGCTATTTAATACAAAAAGCTTAGCCTGAGTATCAGGCTCTCTCGAAGGGGTTTGGGGCGGAGCYAGAAAGGAGAGAGAGCCTGACACAATCTTCTATCGAGAGCCGTGTTCGGCGGCCGTTTCATGGCCGAAACGCTGATTGGTCTAGAGGACAAAGGAAGTGACAGGAATTAAAATATATATAATTATTATGTTACCGAACGACGCTATGACTCTTGATATAAGTGAATAACAGTTTGGGAAAGCTTTAATAGTAACCTGGTTGCAGAGACTTGTCTTTATTCTTTTTTTTACTACGTTATCAAGCCGTTCTTGAATCGGTTTGTTTTTACGCGTACAAAAACAAACCGATTAACGGAAACGTCTCATATAACACTAACATTACACCAACCTATAACGGAGTAAAACAATTCAAGATTATAGTGATCAATCCTCTAGAGTTTATTAGACGTCCACAAGTTGAGAATCTGGTAAAAATCGGCATAAAAGCTGCGACTTTTCAAATAAATTTTGACATATAACCGCCACATCGAGAAATCAAGCAAACCGGAACAGCTTTTAATTGGCTTAAATTTATTGTCACGCGTCACGCATTGCAAGGAGGCGGAACGGCTCTCGATAGAAGATTGTGTCAGGCTCTCTCTCCTTTCTTGCTCCGCCCCAAACCCCTTCGAGAGAGCCTGATACTCAGGCTACAAAAAGCTCAAATTTGGTCTTCTCTTCATAATTGAGTTTCTCAAAGATTTGGTGGTGATTTTGAACACAGAAAGTGGTCACGTGAGCCATTAGGCAGCTGAAAAATACAAAAATTAAAACAATTAAAACAAAAGTAAAAACTATGTTAAACAATGTGTTCATGCTTCTCTCTCC